CCAGAGAATAGGGTTAGAACTTTTAAAGTGTTTCTTTATCAGGCTTGTATTGATGACTTTCTGTTTTACTGGAACACTTCAGTTGGGTAACTAGAGGCTGTGTGTGGGAGTGGTAGTATGGTTTGGAGATTGTCATTATAGTTGGTAGCTGTTCAGTCTGTTAACCTGATCTAGTACTATCAATTTTTGGCAGAATATTTAGTGGCTAAAAGAGCTAGGTTTCTAGTATACTTTGTATAAAACAGGTATTTCATTTGAAGCATTTAAATTACACAGATGATACTCCTTGGACTCTTAGAGCCCTCTGGTGTGCCGTTCATTCACCTGATTCTTTCCTATCCCATCCCTTTATTTCAGAGTTGTCTGTCCTCTTGAAATTTTGTCATTTCCTTTCCTTTATGAATCACATACTTAGATTTTTTTCTTCCCATTTGTGTGTGTTTGTGAATTCCCTGCTTCCACTTCTTCCTCCTACAGGTGTGCTCCTGAAATTCTTTGATACGAGTGTTGAAGACCAGATTTTGTGAATTTTTGGCGGAGGGACATAGTTGCTTGTGAACTGGAGTTTCAGTTGGTACCCAGTTAAGTGTTTGGAATGGAGGCGTGCAACAGGGCTTTAGATTAGTAGTTCAGTTAAGATAACAAACTTCCTTTAAAAGTTGTTAGAGTTGATCTGTGGTGGCACACACACACCTTTAATCCCAGCACTTGGGAGGCAGAGGCAGGCTGATGTCCGTGAGTTTGAGGCCAGCCTGGTCTACAGAGCTAGTTCAAGGATAGCTAAGGTTTTTACTGGCCCAGTTCACAGAGATCCACCTGTCTCTGCCTCCTGAGTGCTGGGATTAAAGGAGTGTGTCTCCAAGCTGTTTTTGCTTTGTTTTCAAAATAAAAAGTATCTTGAATATAGCAATATAAGACCCATTTTTAGGGTGCAGAAAATTTGGGTACATAATTTTAAGTATATATTTAAAGTATTCAGGAAGACAGTTTTTTAATTTTTTTTATTTTTTTTTTATTTTTTTTTTATTTTTTTTATTTTTTAAAGATTTATTTATTTATTATTATTATGTGTACAATATTCTCAGTATTCTGTCTGCATGTATGCCTGCAGCCAGAAGAGGGCGCCAGATATCATTACAGATGGTTGTGAGCCACCATGTGGTTGCTGGGAATCGAACTCAGGACCTTTGGAAGAGCAGGCAGTGCTCTTAACCGCTGAGCCATCTCTCCAGCCCGGAAGACAGTTTTGATGTATTGACATAATTAAATTTAGAGAAACATCTTAGATTGCTTCTGATTAATTTGATTGGGATAGTGTAGCAAAATGTCCTTAGATAAATCAGAACTGGTTAGAAAGGCTAGGTTGGTTTGGAGTTAAGCAGAAGTACAATGTAGTCATGCTTTTGGGCTGGGAGTGTTGCTGGGTAGCAGAGTGCTTACCTAGCATGTGAAGGCAGATTTGAGTCCTGTACTGTAAAAACCAAACCAAACCACTTTCCCAGAAAGGCAAATACCTGAGCTAATGGGAGCTCATTAACTCTAGCCTGACAGGGAAGGAACCAGCATAGGACCATACTAGACCCTCTGAATGTGAGTGACAGTTGAATGGCTGGGGCAGACTGTGGGGCCGCTGGCAGTTGCACCAGGATTTACCCTTACTGCTTGTACTGGCTTTTTGGGAACCCATTCTCTTTGGATGATACATTGATCAGCCTGGATATAGTAGGGAGGGCCTTGGACCTTCCCCAAAGCAATATGCCTTACCCTCTCTGATGAGGAGTAAATGGGGGGCGGGGAGAGAAGGCGGAGGAAATAGGAGGAGGGGAGGGAGTGGGGACTGGTGTTGTTATGTAAAATGAAAAAAGATAGTTCTTTTTTTAAAAAAAAATTGAGAAAAAGCTTCCCCTCAAGTTCTGCTTTTGCCCATTTACTGATACTGTTTTCCTATTTCTAAGTATCTTTTTGTTACCAAATGAGCTGTTAGTGTGAACACTGTCAGTAGATTGATTTTCTGTCTTTATAAGATGACAGTGACATGGCAGATTGCCAGCTAGTCACATATGGGTTCCTGTATTTAAGTTCTATTAATTAATCAAAAAGAAATAACAAATTGTAAGGTAGCATTCAGGTTTTTTAATTTCTTAAAAAGACTTTATTTAATTTTATTTTAAGTGCATTGATGTTTTTGTCCACATTCATATCTACGTGAGGGTGTCAGATTCCCCGGAACAATAGTTACATGCAATTGTGAGCTGCTGGGACTTGAACCCGGGTCCTCTGGAAGAAAGAGCAGTCAGTGCTCTTAACTGCTGAGCCATCCCTCCAGCCCCTAATTTAATGCTTTTGAGGCAAGGGCTTACTGTGGTCTTCACTGGCTTTGATCTGCCTGCCACTACTGGAATTACAGATGTGTGCCCCCAGTCGCAGCCTTTGAAAACTGCTGGAAGAACAGAAAAGTTGTGTTTGGTACTAAGTCTTTTGGGTGTGATAGCTTATGTTTCAAAACAATACACATACTTTGTTAAAAAGAAATAAGAAACTTACCTTTTTTTCTATTTTGATTTTGAGTTGAGCTTTGATATAATATATTCTGAATTATTTATTTTACCCAAGTTCCCAATTGTACCTACAGTGCCATTTTCTATTGCTGGGCGGTAGTGGTGCATACCATTAATCCCAGCACTTGGGAGGCAGAGGCAGGCGGATCTCTGTGAGTTCGAGGCCAGCCTGGTCTACAGAGCTAGTTCCAGGACAGGCTTCAAAGCCACAGAGAAACCCTGTCTTGAAAAACCAACCATGTCTTTGGTGTTCTTTTAGTTTTCTATATCTGTTTTATCTTTATTTGTTTATTTATTCATTGGTTTAAGCTGTATCTTTTTTCTTTTTAAGATAGGTGCAGACCTCTACGTATATACACCTGAAAAATCTAAGAGCTCAGTCATCAATCCACTTGGTTTTTTTGGGTTTTTTTCCTGGTTTTTGAGACAGGGTATTTCTGGGTAGCTTTGGAACCTGACCTAGAACTCACTTTGTTGACCAGGCTGGCCTTGAACTCACAGAGATCCACCTGCCTCTGCCACCTGAGTGCTGGGGTTAGAGGCATGTGCCTCCACCACCCAGCTGGTTTTGTTTTTGAGAATTACTGTGTGTTGAACTTGAATTTTCCTGCCTCAGCCTCAGGGGTGTGAGGTTACAGGTGTGCGAGAAGATGTAGTTCACTGAGCCTTTTGTTTCTTTGCTTTCTCTCTCTCTCTCTCTCTCTCTCTCTCTCTCTCTCACTCTCTCTGTCTCTCTGTCTCTCTCTGTCTCTCTGAGACAGGGTTTTCCTGTGCAGCCCTGGCTGCTCTAGATCTCTGTGAGTTTCAGGACAGCCAGGGCTACACATAGAAACTCTGTCAAAAACAAAACAGAATGTGTATGAGTGTTTTGTCTATGTGTATGAATGTGTGACTGGCTTGTTTATGGGAGCCCTCCAGATCCACATGATTGTATAGCACCAAGGGACAGGACAGGGTCACTAGCCTTAGTAGGTGACTGTGCCTCAGTAGGTAACCTTGCCCCTCAGTGGGTGACCCTGTCTCTCCATAGGTGACCCTGTCCCTCAGTGGGTGACCCTGGAGTCCATTAGAGAGTAGTTAAAATTTTAGGTAGGTCATGGGTAGAGTGCTTGCTTAGCATTGCAAGGCCTTGGATTAAGTTCTGGCACCTGGTCCTCCTGATCCCCTTCCTAAGAGAAAAAGAAAAGGAAAGGAAGCATGTAGAAGCACATTTATTTCTGGTGTGTTGACTGCTGCTTTTTAGTCTTGCTGACAAGACTGCCTCTGAACTCAGTCCTGTTGCCTCTGCCTCCTGAGAAACTCAGATCCCAGCCTTGTTTCAGATGCTGGGGTCTGAAATGTAGTATCTGTGATACTCCTGCTTCGGGAGATCTATTGTCATTTTGTTGGTTCAGCAGTGTTTACTCAGGTTTTGTGAAGTGTTGTTACAGCTATTTCAGAAGGCATCTGGGGGCTGGAGAGATGACTCTGTGGTTAAGAACAAGTTAGGTCCCAGCATCCACTTCAGCTGACTCTCACATTCCAGTAGTTAAGCTTCAGGAACCTGGTGCACTGCATGTGTGTGCACCTCTACACACGTGGCATATAGACACATAGACATACAGATTTTAAAGTAAAAATGAAAAAGGATATTCCGATAGGGCGTGGTGGTATTCACCTCATTTTCAGTATTTGCAGTCAGAGGCAGGAAGACTGAGCTTGAGACTATTAGGATTACATAGTACAAGACTAGTTCAGTGAGATCTCACCTCAAAAACAAACAAAATTACCATAACATCAAAGGCTGGACATAGATTTCAGTCGTCTAGTACTTGCATAGTTACTATCTTTGGCAATTTATGAGTGGTCATTTTGTGTATTGTGTCAATTTATAACTGAGATTTTCATGGGTTGTACCCTGTGTAATTAATAACTGTTAAATTTCTAAGAGATCTCCAACCCACCCCTGAGTGTTCAGGTGTTCTTAGTGGACTAGCAGTCATTGGGCTCTTCTTCATTCATTGTTATTGTGCTGAGGTGTAAAATGTTTGATTACTTACACATCACTGTGTATCTTAAATAATAACAAGGCTGGGCATTGGTGGTGCATGTCATTAATCCTAGTACTCAGGAGGCAGAGATAGGCAGATCTTTGTGGTTTTGAGGGCAGCCTGATCTACAGAAGTAGTTCCTGAATAGCCAGGGCTATCTACACACACACACACACACACACGAGAGAGAGAGAGAGAGAGAGAGAGAGGGGGGGGGGGGGGAGGAAAAGAAAAGACAGACAAATTAGCTTCTCTTATATTGGGCTTTCTTTTGAACTTCAGGACTTCAGGAGTGAGAAGTAAAGACTTTGTGAGTCCTAAAACATTAGTTTTCTGTCTTGATTTTTTTTGCCTTTGTTTTCTTGTTTAGTCTCAAGACATAGTACTCAAGAAATCTTTCCTTGTTTTTTAGGTTCTAAATGGCTTCTAAGAAGTTGGGTACAGATTTTCATGGTAAGTGAAGCGTTAAATATTATGGTTTAAGTTATGATTTGATCAGAAAATATAAATTGCTTTAGTATTTTGTTATTTTTTTATACTGAACAGCCTAAGTAAAACAAAGTTATACAAAACATAGCATGTCCTGGAACTACGTAGATCAGCCTTGCCTTGACCTCACAGACCTCTGGAAAAGTAGCCAGTGCTCTTAACCACCGAGCCATCTCTCTAGCCCTGCTGCTTATTCTCTCTGCCCACCAGGCCCACCTATCCCTCTCCTGCCTAGGCTATTGGCCATTCAGCTTTTTTTCTTCTCCTTTTCTTTTCTTTTCTTTTCTTTTCTTTCTTCTTTCTCTCTTTCTGTCTCTGTCTCTCTCTCTCTCTGTCTCTCTCTTTCTCTTTCATTTTAGACCAGTCAGGTGCCTTAGGCAGGCAGGGTGGAACAAAAGCAATACATCTGTACATAATTAAACAGGTGCACCATAAGCAAATTTAACACACACCTTTACACAGTTAGAGTAGTGTTCTGCAGCATAGACAAAGGTAACACACCTTTACATAGTTAAAGTGATATTTCACAGCAGTTGAATGCTTCACATATCTGAGCCATGGTCATGGGTTTGATTCTCTAGTACTGGGGGTGTGGTGGGAATCCATATTATTCTAGAAAGTAATAATGCTTTTATTCTTTGTGCTAAAAAAATGATTGTTTCACTGGTACCCATGCCCTCACCCCCTAGAAGGCAAGAAAAAGCTCGCAGAGAACTCTTAAATCAAAGACACCTATTGTGAGGAGTCTCATCAGTTCAGACGATGTGTATCAGTCAGACAGTGGTGTAGGTTCTGAGAATACAGACGTGGCATAGTGGCACACAGTGTAAATCCCAACTACTTGAGGACAAGGTTGGGTTGTGAACTCAAGACCATCCGTGTCAGGTACCAATACTTTGTCTCCCAAACAAAACATAACAACCCAAACAAAATGGTTTGAGAGTACGCCTTCAAATAAGACTTGACTTGGCTACAAGAAACCTATGTTTCCTTTGACAAGACAGACAATAAGTATAATAAAACAGCTATGTAGTATGTTAGAAGAAAAAAAATACTGCGAGGTCAAGTCAGACAACATAGTGAGGTAGGGTGCTGCAGTTAAACCTGGTTCAGAAACGTTTGAGCAGAGTTGAAGACGTGAAGGAGTGAGTTGTGAATCCAAGAGAAGAGCATTCCAGATAAAGGAACAGCGGGTATGGAACACTTTAGGTCAGGTTTGAGCTTGACATCATTTCAGGCAGAGGTCCCTGTGACTCAGGCAGTAATCCAAAGGACAGTTAGGAGATGTGGACAGAAAGATCCTAGGAGGCTTTTTTAGGCGACTGTGAGTACTTTGGATCTTTTTTTATTATTTATTTTTTTTTGAGACAGGTTTTCTCTTTGTAGCTCTTGTTGTCCTGGCCTTGAACTCACAGAGACCCACCCGCCTCTGCCTCCAGAGTGCTGGGATTAAAGGCATGCGGCAGGCCCTACAAGTTCTTTGGATTTTACATTGAGTATAATTGAAAACAAACCCTCCTAGTGAAGATAGTGAAGTAGACCGAGTAGACAGGTCTCAGTCAGGTAAGCTGTTGGAGAAGGGACTCAAGTCTTAGGAGAGCCTAAATGTACGTTTACCTAAGTTATAGCAAAATAAGTACTAAAGTTATTTGCTAATGTTTTCTCCTTTATTATTATTATTATTATAGGGACTTTCAGTTACCTTGATGATGTCCCATTCAAAATAGGAGACAAATTCAAAACACCAGCTAAAGTTGGTCTACCTATTGGCTTCTCCTTGCCTGATTGCTTACAGGTTATCAGAGAGATGCAGGTAAGTCATGAATTTTACTTAGTGTTTAGTGCATTGATAAACTTGGATAAACTGTTCTTACATCTTTCATTTTGTTCCTATTAATGCCTGGTTTACAGTGGTACCCAGACCTCCATTTATTGTTTGACACATGCATAGATGTGTGTGTGTGTGTGTGTGTGATATATATTGGGTCTCAGTGCTTTCCTTGCACTGAATTTGCACAAAGCAAATTCCAGTTGCCCATTTCAGACACTCGCCTCTTTCCTCTGTTGATGTCCTCATTGTCTTTCAGATAATGTTTCTTTTGTTCTGCTCACACTTAGTTCTCACCCAGGCTGTTAGAGCAGCAGTTGGCTCTGCTGCTTGCAAGGTTTTTCACATCATTTCTAGAGTAATGATTTTAAGGCTTTAAAATTTTTTTTGAAAGTTTATAATTCAATGATTATTAAATCAAACATAGGGATGTCAGGTTTTGTCAGAGCACATTCGACCATCATCATGTTCCGAGTCAGCAAGAGTTTGTTAAATATACTTTGTGCATTTTTCCTATACCTGGCTTTCCTTGTGAGTTGTCTCTGGGTGGAATAGTCTTTCTCTGACTGTACAGAACTGTGCCTAAATGTTCTCCAGGGTTTCTTTCTCAACTCTCTCCTCTTGAGAGCTATGTTATATAGAAATGCATGAAATTACTTTTTTTTATATTTATTTATTTATTATGTACACAATACTCTGTGTGTATGCCTGCTGGCCAGAAGAGGGCACCAGACCTCATTACAGATGGTTGTGAGCCACCATGTGGTTGCTGGGAATTGAACTTAGGACCTTTGGAAGAGCAGGCAGTGCTCTTAACCTCTGAGCCATCTCTCCAGCCCATGAAATTACTTTTTGAAGGCACCAAAAAGCTGAGTGTTGCTTCATAAGTGCCTGCCTTTGGGATGTGCTCTTGTGGGGACTGAGGAGAGAGTCAGCTCAGTGTCCTCAGAGGTGCTTACAGCTTAGAGGTATTGTGAGAAACCCAGAAGAGCACAGTGCGCTCACAGAACTTTACTCCGCCTTGTTGGAAAGGAAATTTTGTTTCTGGGGACTCATTAGGACATCAGCATGTCACTTTAAAAGAATTTTGCCTTATAGAGTCTGTGTGCAGAATTCAGTTGCTTTGTTTTTATTTTGGTTTTTCAAGACAGGGTTTCTCTGTGTAGCTTTGGAGCCTGTCCTGGAACTAGCTCTTGTAGACCAGGCTGGCCTCAAACTCACAGAGATCCGCCTGCCTCTGCCTCCTGAATACTGGGATTAAAGGTATGCTGTCCAACTCTCAGTTGCTTTGTTTTAATAACTTTATTGAGATAAGATTTACATACCTTGAAATGAACTCTTTCAAGCTATATACTTCAGTGGTGTGGTTTTTTTTTTTTTTTTGGTTTTTCGAGACAGGGTTTCTCTGTGGTTTTGGAGCCTGTCCTGGAACTAGCTCTTGTAGACCAGGCTGGTCTCGAACTCACAGAGATCCGCCTGCCTCTGCCTCCCGAGTGCTGGGATTAAAGGCGTGCGCCACCACCGCCCGGCTCTTTTTTTTTTTTTTTTTTTTTTTTTTTTTTTTTGAGACAGGATTTCAGGATTTCTAGCCCTGGCTATTTTGGAACTAGCTCTGTAGACCAGGCTGACTGATCTCTCTGACCAGGCTCAGAGATCCACCTGCCTCTGTCCCCCAAGTGCTGAGATTAAAGATGTAGCCACTACCACCCCACCTGATTTTTTTTTTAATTAATTTTAATTTGTGTGCTTTGGTGTTTTGCCATGGGTGTCAGGTCCCCTGGAACAGGAGTTACAGACAGTAGTGAGCTGCTATGTGGGTGCTGGAAATTGACGCAGGGTACTCTGGAAGAACAGCCAGTGCTCTTAACTGCTAAGCCATCTCTCCAGTCCCCTGGTCAGTTTTTAGTATTTATTCACAGTTGTGTAAACTTTTAGAGTATTTTATTCCTCCCGCCCCGAAAAGAAACCCTCTGTGGTCTTTGTGACAGACACATTTAATTTAGGTTTTTGTATTTGGAGTCCTAGGCCAGAGGTCTCAATTTGGAGACTCCCAGTGAACTAGGTCTGCTCCTTCATCCCGAAAGGTCAAATGAAGAGATGAATGGTGGTAAACACATGAACATAATGTATTCTCAGGGTAATGACTAAATACCAGCAGTCTAGTTATAAAGCCTGTCTGTCCCAGGAGGCTGATAACTGTCCTGGTCTGCAGTATAAGCTGGAGGTTTGCACAGCTAGACATTTTGTCTGGTTGAACATTCAGTAAAATGATAAACGAGTTGCTGTGAGACAGAAAGTGTGACTCCTTTTGAGCACTTCTTTCTCTCCTACTCAGAGAGCTTTACTGAAATGTTCAGTTCTTCTCAAAAAAGAAAAGAAAGGAAAAGTCGCTGCTGCCTGGCAGGGAACTTTGAGCCTTTAGAAAAGGTGTTGATATATTAGACTTTTTGTTCCTGGAATCCACGTGAGTGTGAGAAAACACTTCAGAAAAGGGCCAGTTCACAATTATCTTGCTTTTAGTTCCTCATCAGACACCTTCAAACCCAAGGAGAGAGTCAGTGATTTTAATAAAAGCAGCCTCTCCGTCCCTGTTACGTTGCTATGGCTAAGTAGTATTGCTCTTGTGTGGGTATGCCACACTTGTGTATTCATCAGTTGATAAACATGCTGGTAGTTTCTATTTTTGACTATCCTGACCTGTATTGCTGTGAAGGTTTACATGCAGGCTTCCCCTTCTTTCTCATTCTTCTGGATGTATAAAGGTGGAATCATTGGGCCTTCCTATAACTGTGTAAAGGAACTACCAGATGATATTCCAAATCACTGTGTCATTTTATTCACACTAGCACTGGAGGTGTGTTCCAATTGTGTCCGTCTTACCTGCCTGTGGTAACTGCCTCTTTCATTATGTATTTGTGGGTGTGAAGTTGTATTTTGTGGCTTTGATTTTCATTTTACTAATGACACTAAGCATCTTAAGTGGTTTTGAATACTGGATAGATAATCTTTTTTAAATGGAGACTTCATTGGGCCCTAAGGTACGATTTTACCTTATACCTTTTACCTATACTTTCCTTGCTCCATTTTCCTCATAATAAATAATCATTAAATACCTTTCTTGTGTATGTAGTCCTTGTAATAATATGATTTAAAAACCCCAGAGCTAGAGATGTAGCTTAGTGGTAGCATGTGTGCTCTGCATGCACGAAGCCCTTGGTTTATCTCTGCTACTGTACACAGACATACATATAAATACACAAACATGCACACACAATTGAAAATATAAGACAAGAGGTGAGATGAATAAAGCCTTGGGTTTATTGCTACCACTACACGCGCGTGCGCGCGTGCACACACACACACACACACAAACATACATAGCATGCACATACAATTGAAAAAATAGGAAAGAGAGTTGTGATGATTTTTGCTAGGAGTAGACACATATGCTGTAGTCCCATAGGCTTGGGAAGTTGAGGCAGGAGGTCCATTTTCATACAGCAATTTGAGGCCAGCAAAGCAAAATGGATGGCCTTGTATCACTTACCTTCCTCATTGCTGACAGGGTTCCTACAGAAACCACTTAAGGTAGAGAAAGGATTTATTTGGGTTATGTTTTGGGGAAAGCAGTCCATCATGACAGTGGAGGCGTCCCGTGGGACTGGTTTCTCTCTGCTGCAATGTGTGAGGTAAGTGTGGATAAGGGGCTATGTCCCAGCCCTCAGGCAAGCCCCACCTCCTAGAAGTTCCATAACCTCCCAAATAAGCGACATTAGCTGTGGACCAGCACATGAGACTGCCAGGTAATTTCACAGTCTACTCTTGGGCCCCATAGGCTGGCCTGGAATCTGGGCTGGGCTGTATCCCTCAGACCTCCCCCTAACTAAAGGTTCCACAGCTTAGCCCACCTGGTGTCTCTCTCTCTCTCTCTCTCTCTCTCTCTCTCTCTCTGTCTCTCTGTCTCTCTGTCTCTCTGTCTCTCTCTGTTGTTGTGTCCGTCCCCCTCCCCAGAATGTCACTAAAAAGCCTGGTTGACCTGGAATTCATTATGTAGAAGAGGCTGCCCTCAAACCCGGTAACCATGCTGTCTTGTTTTTATATGTTTTGCTTTCAAATGATGAAAACTAACCAGTGGACCTTTAATCCCAACACTCAGGAGGCAGGGGCAGATGGATCCCAGTCTGATTTACCTAGTGATTTCTGGACAGCCAGGGCCACATAATAGACAATATTGAACCAATGTGAGTCAGTTAACATACATAGCATCTAGGGTCCTGGAAATTTCACTTGGATGCTGTGGCCACAGTAGTGTAGGGTAGTCCTTAGTGTCTGTGGTTCATAACAGTCTGCAGTCATTCTTGTTTTTTTGAGACTGGGTTTCTTTTACTTTTCTTTTTAATATTTATTTATCTATTTTATGTATATGACTGCTCTATTTGTATGTATGCCTGTATTACACAAGAGAGAATAAGACAAAAGATGACATCAGATCCCATTATTTCTGGTTTTGGACCACCATGTGGTTGTTCTGAATTAAACTCAGGACCTCTGGAAGAGCAGCCAGTGCTCATAACTGCTGAGCCATCTTTCTAGCCCTATGGTTTTATTTTCTTAAAATGTTTTTTTCTGGAAGTTCTGAAATATTTAAAAGTACTTCCTACAGGAAATATACTACTTTCTGCCTTCCAGTAGGGCTGCCTCTTTTTTTTTTTTTTTTCTTCGAGACAGGGTTTCTCTGTGGCTTTGGAGCCTGTCCTGGAACTAGCTCTTGTAGACCAGGCTGGTCTCGAACTCACAGAGATCCGCCTGCCTCTGCCTCCCGAGTACTGGGATTGAAGGCCTGCGCCACCATCGCCCGGTTTAGGCCTGCCTCTTAACACCCCTTCCACCTCAACACTGGGATCAGTAGTCCTAAGGAGCCAGCCATATTCAAACCATAGCATCCCTCCATTTTCTGTAGGATGTGTTCTGCAACCTATGGAAGATGCTTAAAGCCTCAGGTAGCAGTTGAGCTAACCGCTAGGTATCGCACTGGTGTGCTGGACTCGTCTCTGGCAGGAGACTGATTCAGGAGACTGAATGGGAGAGGAGGCCAGATTTTATCACACTATTCAGGGTGTCATTAAAGAGATTTAGTTTTATTTTATCTGTATGAGTGGATGCACCACATACATGCCTGTTACTTATAGAGGTCAGAAAAGGTGTTAGATCTCTTGTGACTAGAGTTAAAGATAATTGCTGGATGGTGGTGGCGGCACACACCTTTAATCCAGCACTCGGATTAATTCAAGGCAGCCTGGTCTACAGAGTGAGTTCCAGGACAACCAGGGCTACACAGGGAAACCCTGTCTTGAAAACCAGTTTTGATCCACCATGTTGGTGCTGGGAACAGATCTTGGGTCCTCTACAGGAGCAACAAATGCTCTTAACTGCTGAACTATCTTCCAGTCCAAAAGTTAAGATGTGTTTTTTCTGGAGTTTTTGCTTGCTATTCTTTTTTTGTAGTTATTATAAACAAACGAAACTATAGCAAAAAAAATGGGCCAGTGGGAAACCTCTAGTGAGTTGATAATGCTTGCCTCTCTTTTTGGTTTTTCAAGGCAGGGTTAATGTATCTGACTGGAGGTGTCATGCACTTTTAGAAGAGTGAATGGGCCACCAGAGTAGCTTTCTTGAGTGGGTGGCTAACCCCGTCCCCCAGTCATGTACAATTAAGAACGAAAAAACCAAAGGGAAGAAAAGCAATGGATGTGCAAGTTCCCTTTGGTCTGGTATGAGGGTTAATTTATAGAAGTTATCTGGGAGCATGGTTTGGACAGTGGAAGTCTTGGTGCTCTCATGAGGCTCAGCCTTGTGCTGGCGTGCTGCCTGCTCACACAGGACTGAATTGGGTAGGGGAGAGTAGTAGCCCCTGGGCTCACACCTCCTCTCTCTGCTGTATCCCTGCAGTATGACTTCTCCTTGGAAAAGAAAACCATTGAGTGGGCCGAAGATATTAAGCTAATCCAAGAAGCTCAGCGAGAAGCAGAGCGGAAGGCTGAGGATGCGGAAGCTAAAGTGACTTCTAAGAGTGGCCCAGAGGGTGACAGCAAAATGAGCTTCTCCAAGACTCATAATCCAGCCACAATGCCGCCTCCGATTAACCCCATCCTTGCCAGCTTACAGCACAACAGCATCCTCACTCCAACTCGGGTCAGCAGTAGTGCCACAAAGCAGAAAGTTCTCAGCCCACCCCACACAAAAGCGGATTTCAATCCTGCTGACTTTGAGTGTGAAGAGGACCCGTTTGATAATCTGGAGTTAAAAACCATCGATGAGAAGGAAGAACTGAGAAACATTCTGGTAGGAACCACTGGACCCATAATGGCTCAGTTACTGGACAGTAACTCACCCAGAGGAAGCTCGGGTTCTGTGTTACAGGATGAGGAGGTCTTGGCCTCCTTGGAGCACGCAACCTTAGATTTCAAGCCTCTTCATAAACCCAATGGCTTTATAACCTTACCGCAGTTGGGCAACTGTGAAAAGATGTCGCTGTCTTCCAAAGTGTCCCTCCCCCCTATCCCTACAGTAAGCAATATCAAATCTCTCTCCTTCCCCAAACTTGACTCTGATGACAGCAATCAGAAGACAGTCAAGCTTGCAAGCACTTTCCATAGCACATCCTGCCTCCGAAGTGGCACACCCCGGAATTTCCTGAAGCCTTCCACCCAAAGCAGTGCCAGTGAGCTCAATGGGGACCATACTCTTGGGCTTTCCGCTTTGAACTTGAACAGTGGCACAGAGGTGCCAACCCTGATGACGTCCTCCCAGATGCCTTCCCTGTCTGTCTTGTCTGTGTGTACAGAAGAACCATCACCTCCAAATACATGTCCCACGGTAAGTTTCAGTCCTAACTTACAGTCCCAGAGATGTCTCAGTGATCCCATTTAGCAAAAGTCCCCCACAAGGCCTAGTGTTTGACGGGGCTCTGTACAACGGCTTTTTTATCTGGTAGCTATAATTCCAGATAGTTTTCTGAGGACCAGGATTACTACTTTTGAACCCAGCTTTGATATTTATTTTTGGTTTTTCTTCAGTGCCAGGCCATTGCCATGGTAGACAAGGACTCTGCCACTGCCCTACATTCCCAGCTAAAACTGGGTTAATGTTCACCTCCCTGCACCTTTAAGGTCTTTTCCTTTGCAAATGTAAGAGATAACACAACCCCTAGGAATGGTATTTCTCTGTCTGAATCTTGATCCTTTTTGTACTGTTATGTCTTAATAGGTTTTTTGTCTTTGTTTTTGGTGGTTTTAGTTGAGTCGGGGTCTTACTGTATGGCCTAGATCTCCTACCTCCACCTGGTGAGAGCTGGGATCACAGTGTGTGCCCACCCCTGTGCCTGGCTGTCTGGCTGTTGTCTCTCTGCCCATCTTCCTTGCAGATACTCCTGGTCACACCCTCTCCTCTCCTCCTATTCTCATGTACCCTGTTTTTGTTTTTCTGATCATGATGTGGCTCTGTAGGATCTACATTTCTTCAGACTGAATGGTGACTGTAGATAGTAATTGTGTGATGCTTTGTTATCCTCCTCAGCAGGACACTTGTTAGGCAGTCTGGAAAGTGGGTCGAAGGATGCATTAGGATGGATTGATAAAGAGATTGCAACTTTCTCATCCTGAAGAAAATCTAAATTTATTTTTGTTTTTTGAGACAGAATTTCTCTGTGTACCCTTGATTGTCCTGGAACTCACTTTGTGGACCAGGCTGGCCTTGAACTCACAGAGATCCGTCTACCTCTGCCTCCTGAGTGCTGGGATTAAAGGCGTGTGCCTTTACCCTCAGCAGAAAATACTATTTTGCTATACAGAATGATGGTAAAACAGGGCAGTTTCTTTGTCAGGTAGTATAAGCTCAGCTCTGATGTGTGTTTCTGCCCCAGAACAGCATTTCCGTATCCTGGCTATATAAATATATAAATAGAAGCCGCAGAGTGTCTTTCTATACTTGCTCATAGATGTTTTAAATGGCAATGGAAGAGGCTGTGTAGAGCCCGGAAGGAGCCTAGTTGCATTGGTAGAGACCACAGCAAGCTGTTTGTCAGCCAGTAGAAAGACAGAACCCTGCCTGCCTCACTAATGCACCTTCCCAGCAGCGGCCCTCCTGTGAATGACGTGTGAGTGCCTCCACTCTCAGGGAGCCCCTTGGCCCAGGGAAACTTGACAGACTGCTGAGCATCCTGGTCCTTGGAGTGGGCTGGATCCTGATTCCTCTTGGTCAGTTGTTGGCCTCTGGTCAGCACTGTATTCCTTCTCATGACATATTAGATGCATTAGGTAAATGAAAAGCACCTTGAAATGATGGGGGTTCAGCCAGTGCCCAGCCTTGTTTGATGAACCCCATAGAGACCAAAACCAGAGGACTAACCCTCCCTCCTTTCTTTCTTTCCTTCTTCCTCTTTCTCTCCTCTCTCTCTCCCTTCCCTCCTCTCCCCTCCCTTCCTTTTTCTTTCTAAGATTGCTTTATTTTTCATTATTTGCCTGCATGTATATATATGCACCATGTGTGTGCCTGGTGCCTGAGGAAGTCATAGTGTGTTGGATCCTTGGGAACCAGAATTAAAGACAGTGTGAGTGACTATGCCTGCGCTGGGACGCAAACCTGAATCCTCTGCAAGAGCACAGGTGCTGAGCTGTCTCCAGCCTCTCCTAAATCCCACAGAGTCTAGCATTTCAGTTATTCTGAGGCTGGTTTTCTGTACCTCCACTTCCACCTGTAGAAGCTTTTGATACCCTCTGTCAATCTCTGGAGAGTTTGAATTTTACTGTTGATTTGCCTTATCATTTACTGTGTTGGGCCCTTCTGGTCTCTACAAGATCAGGGTTAGGCCAGGTTTTAGTCACTGACTATGAAAAATTAAAATCGCATTTTGTGCTTGCCAATAAATATATATTTTTACTGAAAAAGTTCCTAATGAGAAAGAACTGCCTAAATGTGGTAATGGTGTCTCGTTTACATGAGTCTAGGATGCAGCACAGTAGTATTGCGCTGCACACACAGAACTTTACCCGTAGTAATCATAATCATGCCAGATAACCTTGATGAAGGATGTGAAACACTCTAGTATTAGCGATTTTGACAAGGGGTCCTTTTTTATTTTTGTAGATAGTCTTGCTATGTATATGTAGCCCAGACTGCCTTAACTTTAGGATCCTCCTTCTTCCTAAGTCCTAGTAATAAGGGATCCTTAGTGGTGTGTGGTTAATAAAGCATTATGTGAAGGAGACAGTCATTTTTCTCTGTTCAGGAAGTATTCTCAGTCCTAATATTTAAAAAAGAAAAGAGACTTTCCTCTCTCCTAGTATTTAAAATCCTATGCATTAAACTGGAGAAAAGATGGCTCAGTGGTCAAGCATTTTCGCTGCTCTTAAAGAGGACCCAGGTTTGGTTCCCAGGACCTACATGATGGCTAATAACTATGTGTAACTCCACTTCCAAATCTCACAACATCTTCTGGGCTTCGCAGTCAGCAGACATGCACATGGTGCACACACATAGATGCAGGCAAGCAGAGAGTAAATACAAATCTAAAAACCTTTAGTCAGAGCACACTGGAAGCAGAGGGAATGAATTTGAGGCCAAATTGATGTACACAGAGAATCCTAGGCCTGCATAGTGAGATCCTGTCTTTAAAACAAACAAAAACTGGGGCTGGAGCAGTGGCTCAGAGGTTAAGAGCACTGGCTGCTGTTCCAATTCTTAGCAACCACAGGGTGGCTCACAGCAATCTATCTATATAGTGGGATCTGATGCCCTCTTCTGGCATAAAGTTAACAGAGCACTCATTTATATAAAATAGCAAAACAAAACTACCTAATAGTAATATGACTTTATTAAAATATCCTGTTGGCTATTTACATTATCTCTAATGTTTATGACAAATGATGTTGAAATGACTATTTTATTTATATATATGTATGTATATGTATTACAGTTTTTATAGATTTATTTTTGGTGTATGAGTGTTTTTGCCTACATATGTTTGTATGCTACATGCATGCCTGGCACTGTGGAGTTGAGAAGTATCTGGAGTTATGGACAGTTGTGAGCCACTGTGTGGATGCTGGGACCCAAACTCGGCTCTTCTGCAAGACCAACAAGTGCTTTTAACCAGTGACCTGGGTTTGTATTTTAATACTCCCAAAGACTCGGTCCCTAGATGTGTAACCAGAACAAAGAATTTTATCAGGCTTTCCATATAGCCACATTTACCTGAAGGTAATAACAGTTCCAAAAGCACAGTAGTACTTTCTAGAGATATTTTTGTTATTTTTTCATTTTGTTTTGAGACAGGGTTTCAATATGTAGCTGCAGCAATCCTGAAACTCAATGTAGACCAGACTGGCCTCGAACTCACAGAGATCCGCCTGCCTCTGCCTCCCGAGTACTGGGATTAAAGGTGTGCACCACCACTCCCAGCTCTTGGAGCTGTTTAAAGGGAGAGATACACCTATTAGAATAGTCCTGGCTTTTGGCTTCCTGGCCGGGCTCATGAGAGAGCTGCCTTTGTTGTTTGAGGAGCTGGTGATTTGGAGCCAGCCTCCGAGAAGGCTCATAGAGTCTTGAGTCTGCAAAGGGGCTAGATTGATTTATGAGGATGGCGCCTGCACCTTGCTGAAGTCCCTGGAAATGGATGCTTAGAGTATGTTATGGGTGGTATTTCAATGGAAGCTGCTAGTCTACAGGCCTGTGTTCTTTCTGGCTTTCCCCAGCAGACTTTGAGAACATCTGGTTATAGCAGAACTTGTTTTAGGACAGAGGACTATACATTGCCTTAATTCTACCCAATAGAAAAAGAAAACTAGGAAAAATAACATGTTTTCTTTGCTTCTTGGGAGCCAAACTACCATGAACAACTTGGGATTTTGTTCCCATGGTGAATTGGGTCTGGGAGTGAGCTGAGTTGCCCTTGTACCTTAGGTTTCATTATCAGAGATGTAACCAGTCAGATGAGAACTAGGGAGGTCCAGTGGCAGGCAGTAAAACTGCTTGTAGCCAGTGTAAGTACACTGTGGCCAGGAGTCCAGCCTAGTGTGGCAAATATTCCTGCCTTGGCTCCAGAGGACAGCATTGTTAGCAGAAAATGAAGGGAGTGTGTTGTGTGGGGCAAAGGTAAGTGCCCTCAAAATCCTGAGGCCTGCGCTGACTGTGCATAGGAAGCCCAGACCAGTGATAAGCAGGGGTGAGGCTAGGACAGAGTCAGGTCCAGAGTGGGAAAGGCTGATGGAGTGCTAGGGAGAAAATGCATAGCCTATTCCAACATTAATCCTGCAGGTAGGTTCACACTCTGAACTACTTTTTAAGTCACAGGGATCGGGGCATGCAGCAGCATGTGCTGTCTGTATTTTCACATGTAGGGGCTGTGGGTTAAGGGCTCCAAGGGCTGGAGGTGCCTCCCAGCTTTTCTCCTTGTCTGGTACTTGGTACCTCTCTTCTTCCCACCCCACAATGCCTGGTCAGCAACCTAGGCCTCAGCTCATCTTGTTTTTGATCTTGCTTTTTTATTACTAGGTCACCCCTCTAAATTTCTCAGTGTCACAAGTGCCCAACATGCCCAGCTGTCCCCAAGCCTATTTGGAACTGCAGGCACTGTCTCCAAGTGAGCGGCAGTGTGTAGAGACAGTAGTCAACATGGGCTACTCATATGATTGTGTCCTGAGAGCCATGAAGAAGAAAGGAGAGAATATTGAGCAGGTAGGTGCTAGTAGGCAAGGTGTGGGTGGTGGAGCATGGTGGCCTCAAGTCACAGTTGTGATCTGCCTGTCTGTCCTAGAGTGCTTGCAGCTTCAGGCTCCTCCCCTGGACTGTTGACAGGGAAGCTGGAAGCTCAGCAGTAGGACTTGTGTAGCCAGCCCAGGCTGCTTGGAACTGAAGTAGCTGAGGCCGCCATTGGAATCAGGGCCATTCGTCTCCACCATGTAGGTGTGGTTACTGTTCCCGTCTTGCCTCCAGAAACTTTTGTCATGGCTGTACAGGAAGTTATGAATAGTGTGCTATAGTCTTCTACTTTGGGGACATTTTTCTGACATAAGTGTTTAATTTTAGAGGACTACCATCCTACCCTGAGTGCTGAGTTGACATTCTGGGAGTTGGGTCAGCTGTGACAGCACCTCCTTTAGAAAGTGGCTGTTCATTTCTAGAGGGGTGTGCCAGTCTATTTACCAAGTAATGACCGCCCAGGATCTGATGACTAGGGAGGTGTAGGGAGCTGAATTCACAGATGGTCTAGAACTCCCAGTACAGGAGTATCAGTAGGAGCTCAAACTTTGTTTCTTTTCTTAGATTCTCGACTATCTCTTTGCACATGGACAGCTTTGTGAGAAGGGCTTTGACCCTCTTTTAGTGGAGGAGGCTCTGGAAATGCATCAGTGTTCAGAAGAGAAGGTAGGAACCTTTACCATTCCTGGGACAGCTATCTGTCCTCGTGTTCTCCCTGGGTCCTCTGTCACCTTTCCTTACCAGTGACTGCAGGCAGAAGCAGTTAAAGACAGAATCCCTTGTGCCCAGACAAGATGGGCCCTTCCATACTACAGATGAAGCATGAAGCTGACTCCCAGTGATAGGAAGGAAAAATTGAGTTGGGCTAAAAGCCAGGCTTTTGGATGGCTTGGGCCATTGCTAGCATTTTTGCCTTCCCCTTTAGGGATTCAGTACTGTCTTGGTGGGAATATTCACGTGGGGCAGTGGGACTCTTTCAGAGGTCAGCAAGTGAGTTGGGGCTGGGCTCCACAGCCCACCTCTGGGGAACTTTAGAAAGATCCACAAGACTCTGAGGGATACAGGTCCTCCTCCTACCGGATGCCTCTACATTCAGCTGCTCTGTGTGGCTGGACCCTTTTTAAAAATGTGTTCCTCTTTATCCCGTAGATGATGGAGTTTCTTCAGTTGATGAGCAAGTTTAAGGAAATGGGCTTTGAACTGAAAGACATTAAGGAAGTTTTGCTATTACACAACAACAACCAGGACAATGCTTTGGAAGACCTCATGGCCCGGGCTGGAGCCAGCTGAGACCAGGCCCTGCCATGGCCCTGCCACAGCACCACCATCCCCCAGGAGGCCCTGCATAGCTCACTCGTGGGCAAGAAGGGACATGCTTCCAGATTTTCTTTGGGAATTAGGCCAGATGTGAAGATGACATTTGCTAGTCTCTGTGAGCCCAGGCCCGAGCTGGGGGAAAGTAGGAAACTTGGGCATACAAATGCCCTGCTGGCTCCTTCAATATTAAACATATCTGTATTTTGAGAAGTGTCCTTCCCACATTGGCCTGTCAGAAAGAACACTTGGATCTTTCTGGGGTCTCTTATTTCCTCAGCCAAAACCTGGCCTGGCTCCCAAGAGGAGTGGGAAGAAGAGGAGGGGCATACTGCTGTTTGGGGGCTAGATGCTTTCCTCTTTGCCACACCACAGGCAGACTGAACTTCAACCAGAGTCGAATACAAGCGAGAGGTTCTTCCAGGGGCCCATCTCCCCCAGCAGTCCTTAGTGTTACACTGGTTCTGGAATGTCTCTGCGGTACAAAAGATGCACTTTTCCTCATGGGACAAAGTCTTCTGCTAGGCAGTCCCATGTGTCCCTGTCCAGACTGTTTCTTGTGGATTAGACACAGTCCTCTACTGCCCAGGGCATTGGAGCCCCTGTGCTAGGAAGCTGTTGGCAGTTTGAGTAATCATTGCCCCTTCTCAGCTCACTGAGAAAACAGGCCACGACTAGTCACTCAGCACTAACCCCAGTTCTTAAACAGCCTCCTCCAGCCCTGCTTTAGGACGACACAATGAGTAACACCTAGGCATAGAAACCACTCTTGGGTTTGTTTGTATTATGTTCTACACCATTAAAGATATAATACAGTCTTGAATCTAAAATAATTTGCTAACTATTTTGATTCTTCAGAGAACTACTAATAAAAACCTAAAAGGTTCGTTGTGCTGCCTTAACGTCTTTATTTCAGAAAACAGCTTGCCACAAGCTGACAAAACCATCAGAAAAGAAAAAAAAAGAAAAAAAAAAATAAAAAAATAAAAAAAAAAGAAAACAGCTTGAGTTAGGATGGCTGTAGGTGGCACAGTCATTTCTGGCCCACATTTCAGTACACTCTCCCCACCCATACCTTTTGGACCATGTCTTCTCTGGTTTTTTGGTATACAAATAGAGACTCAAACAAGAATCTCTTTAAATCTGATCTAGTGCATTCTCTGGACCAAGGGCCCATATGTCTCCTTGCCAAAGTGGAGGAAGGGCAGACGGGGCTTCAAGGTGCTCTTTAAAAAATAAAAAGTCCTGCTTGGGAGGCAGAGGCAGGTGAAGCTCTGTCCCTTTGCCTAGGAAGCCACCATGCCTACAGCCACAGGCAGAGCTAAGGTGCTCCCACAGCTCTCAGTGGCACTGGTGTAGCTGACAGAACTAATCCCTAGAGTTTTTAACTCTTTAGTAAAATCCCACATCCTTTTGGGGCTCTTGCTGGGCATGGTTTTTAGTGGCAATGTGAGGATGTGCTGTACAGTTACAAGCTAGGAACAGGCTGCCCTCTGGTGGCTAGTTCAGGCACTGCCTGGGGCCCACTATAGAGCCTTTCAGCCCTTTTGAATGCCTTTTAAACAGCCAGATCTCACTGTAGCCCAGGTTGGTTTCAAGGTACTCCTGCCTCACCCTCCCAGATGCTGAAATTACAAGTGAGCAATGCCATATCTGGTTTATCTTGGCCTTTTAGACATAACTCTTAAAACTTCCTTATGGGTTGTTAAATTCATGTGGTAGTGGCTTCTGGGCCTAGGCTGTGACACATGAATCTCAGGTGAACTCCAAAACTAACTGACTCTTGGAGGCTCTTTGTTTTCCTTGAGGTCCTTTCTGTTAAGAAGGTGACAGAGGAGATGGTTCATTAATAAAGTGCTTAAGGTGAAAGCATGAGCACTGAGGTTGGATCTCTAGCACCCATGCAGGAGGCCTGAGCAGCTGGGGGTACTGGTGCACACCTTTAATCCCAGCACTTGGGGGGCAGAGGCATTGGGATCCCTGTGAGCTGGTCCACATAGAAAGCTCCAAGACAGGAGGACCCATGGAACTTGGCTAATTAGTTAAATCAACTGTGAAACAGCAGAGGATTGTGGGTACCTAATAACATCTGGCCTACACATAGTAATAAAAGCAAGAATTCATTTAAAGAGCACAGTATGTTTGTTCCTGTATCAAGAAGGTTTAGACTGTTGACTACACTCGGTGCCAAGACACCCATAGCAAAGGTCCTCAAGTGGCTGGCCCGGGTGTCCTGGAAGAGTCAAGCCTAGGCAGTGGACTTGCCTGAGACCCTCCAGCCTGTCCAATCACTCAGAGGATTGGGAGTGAGGAGGACTAGTAGGTACTGTCCACAGGCCGGCTGTTTTAGCAAAAAGTGAATGAGAAGAACGTGCCAGCAGCAGCAGCATCCTCTAAGTCAAACCAGGGTTTCAGGGAGGGGCACTGTAAGCATAAAGCCTACCCCAGCCCAATTGTACTCTTAAGGTATCAACAGTTGCCAGTTTATATTTTCCAGAACTACATCTCCACTCTGGTGGGGAGGAAGAAGCTCACCCAAGTGCCTGGCTGGCACCAATGCTGGCACATAAGTCAGGAATAAGGCTGTTGGCTCAGCATGTGGTCCTAACCTCTGACCTCTGATTTCCAGGTTACTAGTGAACACCCCGATTTCATCCTCAAACTTAGGGACATGTACAGTTAGACCAAATATGTTCCTACAGACAACACAGGTCAACAAAGAGATACTCTTGAGCCCCAAACAGAAGGGGACATGAAGGTCTTCAACCTGGTCCTTTCTTACAGGGGGTCCTATAGTTGGAACTGAGGTAAGATGAGGTCAGTCCCTGAGTAGTGTGGCCATCCAAGGCCATGTATGGCTAGAATGAAGCTAGAGGTAGGACAGGGAGTGGCTGTCTGCAGGAAGGCCTTGGCAGAGCCTTTTCCAGCTCCAGAGAGCACGGCAATGTCTACCCAGGGTGAGCCCTTCTAAGACCGCACAGTTCTCTTGGGAGCTGCAGCTGGCCTGTGGCAGGTGAGGTACAGCTGGAGCTGGCTTCTCAGACTCTGGATGCACTTAGACTTCAAAGCCATGAGTTCATCCAGCTGGGTCACGAAATCTTCAAAATCCTGAGAAGAAAAAAGACAGTGGAGGTGTTTAATCTTGATGACCCTTTGTCTTTTCCAGTCTATTTTTTTTGTGTAGTTTTTCTTTTAATGTGTATGAATGTTTTGTCTACATATCATGTATGTACTTGGTGATACCCATGGAATTTAGAAGAGGACATCCAATCTCCTGGGACTGGAGTTTGAATGGTTGTGAGTCACACTGGGTGCTAGGACCTGGTCCTCTACAAGAGCAATGAGTGCTCTTAACTGCTGAGCCTTCTCTCCAGCCCCCTAGTCCATCTTTTTTTTTTTTTTTTTTTTTGGTTTTTTGAGACAGGGTTTCTCTGTGGTTTTGGAGCCTGTCCTGGAACTAGCTCTTGTAGACCAGGCTGGTCTCGAACTCACAGAGATCCGCCTACCTCTGCCTCCCAAGTGCTGGGATTAAAGGCGTGCGCCACCACCGCCCGGCCTAGTCCATCTTCTTGAAGGAACATTTTAAAATCCAAGTCCCTCTTCTCAGGGGAAAACCTTAAAACCTTAAAAGTTTCTATGGCTTTGGGTAGGGCCCCCTTCCCTGCATTGGAGACACTTTATAAATGGAGGCTGTATTCTGCAAAGGGGTGGTTACAAACAGGGTTTTGTGTCTGCAGGTTGTAAGCAGCAAGATAGTCACTGCTACAGTAATCACAGGGAGGCAACCCCAGCATACCCTTAGGAAGGCAGAATGGTTGGAAACCATCTTGCTTGGTAGTGAGCAGTATAGCACCATCTCCCACCTCTACCCCGACCCTCTGAGGGCCACAAGGCCTCAACAGTTAGTGCACAACAGCAGAACTTTGTCATGAATACCGCAGCAAACCTGACCCTCAAACAAACCACAAGCTACTTGTCAATAGCACGTGTGGCTATTCTACTTACATTAGAATCCATCTGGGTTATTAAGGTCTCCTCCTTGAAGTTCAGCTCAGCCATTTCATCCAGCTGTTCCTGGTGTGCACGGATGATCACCTGCCTAGGAACATGTGGAAGAAACTGACCTTTCCGGTTTCCCATACTCAGGGACAGCCTTTGGAAATTGAGTCTCATTTCCATACTAGGAGTCTCTGCCCAGTATGGAAAGGTCAGCTGGCCACTCCTTGCTTTCTCCTCTGTTCTGTTCTCAGAACTAGTCAAGGGATTAGGGAGTACCCATAATATATAGGAAGTATCTTGTCCCTGCTTCCCCAGCTGCTTCTTAGGGGCTGCCTGTTCCCCATGGCTTCCCTGAAAGAGGCTATCAAGCTGTGACAGCTGGGGTATATGGTACAAGGTTTGCTCTTATTTCTACTTGGGGCGGGGTAGGTGAGGGGGAGTCCAGGACCAAAGCAGGTCAGGGCTAAAAGCTGAATATCTTTTTGGTCAGACTCTGACGACTAATTAGAGAACACAGCAGGAGCAGCAACTCTGCCCACTGAAGAGGCAAGCAAACTGGAAAGGACATGGGATGTTGAGGGGCTTAAGAACAAAGTCCAACTTACTGTGCCTGCTCCAGCGTAAGTGGACAGAGGGTCCCTGAGGCCTTGAGAGAACAGCTGGGGACCACAGGAGAGTCTGATGCTAAGCACTTTGAGATTGGCCTGTGCTTGAGCCACAAGATGTCCTCGTAAGAGGGCTTGATGGAATCTGTGGAGGAAACAAGCTCCTGCCAGCTAAACCCTGCAGGATGTTTTCTGTCCTGGGCCCAGGGACCGCCAGCTACATCACTACTTGCTGTACATGAGGTGAGCAAGGGTGTACAACAGGGTACTCCAGCATGTGTGATGGAGTAGGGCTTCCGAGGGAATGACAAGGAGCCCCCCAGTCCAGTCTCCTCAGCACTGTCACCGTAGGGATCACCACCCACGTGACTCTGGGCCACGCACACAGGCCTTCTGCTCTGGCAGGCCTCCCTATGGGGCAGTTTGTCAGGTGAGTGCTGACGGATGGGTGATGGGGAAAGAGCTGGAAGATCACCACTAGGCCGATTGTCAGGGGGAGATGAGGACAGCCACAGGAGCGCAGTTGCTGAAGATACTGGCAAGGCAGCCTCCTGATTGTAAGGAGGTACTGTGTGCTCCACTGCGGGCCCTCCTATGATCTCAGTCAGGAGACTATGCTCAGCTCTGTCCTGGACAATCTGCTCCAAGGAAGAAGAGTCCTCCTGACTGGGTGTCTCCAAGAGGGACATAGTGAGAGGAGCCATGAGTCCAGAAGCATTCGCAGAATCCATACATAACTGCTCTCTGGAGTCTTCCTGGGACAGAGCACTGCTGTCCACTGTTCCTGCTGCCTGAGTCACTCTGTTGTCACTGACAGCTCTTTCATCTGGGGATAGTGGCAAAGACAGCCCATTTTCTGGGGATGGCAAGCTGCTCTCAGCCTGCCCAGGAACCTCACTTCTGAAGGCCTCAGGTCTAATGTCAGAGGCTTGAGCTCCACCCATTTCTTGGTGATGCACAAAATCTATCTGTGAGGAGGGTGGCTTTTGGGCCAAGTTGTCCTTGGGGGAAGGTCCTAAGGAGGCAGAGTCTTCCTCCTTGCTCCAGTCCGAGCACACCTTACTTGGGCTGTGGCTCTGGCTGAGTGCTCCTCTTCTGTGGCTTATGATGGGGCCTCTGGAACACACCCAGCTGTCAGTTCCTCCCTCATCACCATCCGTCTGGGAGCTGAAACGCAAACATTGCTGCCTTTCTGTCCCCTGCTCCTCAGGGCTGTGCACCTTGTTCTGATGAAGAAAGAAAGAGCTTCCGCTCTTCTCCAAGGTGCTCCTCTGCACGTGTG